ATATTATACGATATACTCTTAATCTTCAGGCAAAAAGTTCTATAATATAATTTTATCAAATATAAATTGAAATTTAATTATTATTTTTTGCATTACCTTTATGTTTAAGCCAAATAATTACAAATATGGCAAATTATATTCAAAAATAAACAATAATAAATTTAGATTTTAACTTTTCCCTCAAACAATTTTAATGAAATGAATATAGTCATTCAAACATTGAGATGGTGGACAAAGATTTTTTGGGAAAAATCCTCAAGGGGAAAGAAAAATTATGAAAATAGAGGAGATTTTTTTAATTTGCAGTATAAATTATAATTTTAAAAGTCTAGGTATGTATGTATATGCATACAAATATCCCAATGAATGATTTTCATTAGGTTCAATTTTTGATTGAATTCGACATGCATTTTTTGTATTATTTTTCGTTTTTTTTCTCTGATATTTTATTAATAAAAGATTATAAAAGATAAAAATTGTATAATAAAATAAAAATTTTTCCTTTTATTTTCATTTTTATTCAAATTTTATTAATTTAAATTTTTACAAGCTGCGTTTATTTCATATTTTTAATGATCGTTTATACCCATCAAAGAAACGTGTATTTGAACCCCTATTTGAGCTCGATTTTTTGAAATTTGAAATGCTTTACAAGCAACTAAGACTATATTTATAAAACTCATTTACTTATATTGTTAAAAATATTTATGGTTAAAAAATAAAAAAGAAAAAAATTAAAGCAAAATTAAAAATAAAAAATCCCTTATTCTATATGCTTGCCGCCGACCTTGTATCTTCTTTCACCATCATTTTATCTAACAATTTTATGATACAATCAAATATGGCGTTTTGTAAGACAAAAACGTTTTGTTTTCCTCTTCTGTTTCGATATTCTTTATTTTTTTTCTCCTTTTTTTTTTGTTTTTTTTTGTTTTTTTGAATAAAGCGATTATATCATAGGTTAAAGAGACGACCATTTTTACTTTTCTTTAAATTTTTTTTTGCTTTTTTTTTATTTTGTTTTTTAATTTCCAAATTCTTTTATCTTAAAAATTTTATTCTTTTATTATTTTTGTTTAATTTTTTTTTTCTTTTTTTAAATTTGATTAACTTGATGAGTTACACGGTGTTTTGAATGGAAAAAATTCGGTTTGGACTATAAAGAAAAGAGTTAAAATGTTTGTCTGTCGGCTTTTCAATTGTGATCAAATAATTTGTGATGTACTTTCGGTTTGTATTCTTGTGTTGTACAAAAACATTCGGTAATATTTCAATTTTGCATTTCAAGAATTTTTAAAATAAATTTTATAATAAATCACTTGTATTTTACTAACTCGACATTTACTCCGTTTATATGGCAGATTCATGCGTATCCAAAGCCTACTTTACGTCTATTTAACGTTAGTCAGCTCTTATTCGGCTTTAATCAAGTTAATCAAAAAATTTTGCTAAAAATAACTGGAAATGTAATAGCTTTCATATTAACTTGAGCTGATTTCAACTCATGTACTTAAGTTGCCATAAAAACTAAGTAATTGATTGGGCCAATCATTCTAATTGCCAATTCGACAATTATAATAACAACTCAATTTTGAAATACTCCTGATATTATTTATTAAAACTCTTATTTCTTATGAAAACTACAATTGAATTTTCACTAAACAAAAATAACTAATTATATTTAAAATTAAAAGAAAAAATGCAATTTTTTTTTATTACAACTAAACCAGATTCTTAATTTCTGGCAAACAAGTTATTTTGACGTTTTTGAAAAAAAATAACATGCATTTTGGTAGAATTCTCTTCGCATTCTTTAAAGTTCTGTTATTTAACTAAGACTATACTCAATAAATTGATTGAAAACGCTTCTATATATATTTTAGGCACCTCTGAACCTCATAAGTTCTAATTATGTGTACAAAAAATGTCGCAGATTTAAGGAATTGTAAACATTTTGCTTTTGTTTTATTTTTTAAATTACAGGCAATTTATAATACGTTTTCGATTCATTTACATGGAAAACGTCTAATTTCGAATTATAAGAAAATAAAAAAAGATGGAACGTTGTTGTTTAAAAAACCGTATCGAAAAAAAAAACTAATCGACTGGAGATCGAGTTTTAAATTAAAAAACAAAAAATAGAAAAATAAAGCAAGTAAAAAAATGGGAAGATTCACGATTGATAAAGAAAAAAAGAAAAAAGTTTCGAAATATCTTGGAATCGTTTTTGTTTCATGCTGTGTTAAATAATTTTTTTTCTTTTTTCAATTTTTGTTTCAAACAAAATTTTTGGTGTTTTCTTTTCTTAATTAAACCTTAAAGTTTTTGTTTCTTTTTTTCCTTTATACTTTGATATACAAACTTTTAGGGTAATTTCTTTTATCAGAAATTTTTGATTACTTTTTAGTATAGAAAAAATATAAAATACCAAAATTTAGCGAAAAAAGGTGTAAACTATTAAATTACAAGAATTTCATTAAAAGATTCAATCAATTGTTTTTCATAGTTTTAATTTGCAATTATTGCAACACTCCATTTATAAAACAAAAAAAAAAACAAAAGAAAATCTAGTAGTTATCTTTGATGTTCATTTGAAGGAAAAGGTGCGTTCAAGGTATTCCGAAAATTTGGAATATGTTAACTGTTTTGAAATTTTCTGACATCATTTATAAAATGTTTGTATGAATTTTGCCAATTCTTTGGATACACATGCTATGATTTTTTTTTTAAAAAATGAAGATTTTATTTCTTAAATAAAATAAAAATTTCTTAAGAATAATGATATGGTTGTATCTGTGAACTAAACAAATATTTTTTGATTACTTGCTTTTGATTTCGAAATCAGTTCCAAACTGATCATTGAGCAATACTGTTTAATGATAAATTTGTAATAAACAATTTATTCATTGAACTCATAATTATTCGAACATTTTGTGGCATAGATGGCTAAAAGATTAAGTCGTTGCTAATTAAAATTACAAACTTTTGAATTTCAAAAACGAAATGCAATACTCGCTTTGAATACTTGCGTCGTAGTAAAATGCTTTGAGCTTTCTGGAAATTATAATGAAAAAATACGAAATTTTGTCACTCTACCATGCCGGGCACACATCAGCATAATATAAATAATAAATGTCGGCAGTTACCTAACTCAAGCTATATGAACAAAATCAATTATTAATACTTTAAGCTCCAGTTTATGGAAACCTAATCTATTTTTTAGTTTTATATGATATTTGCCTCACTACTACAGAAATAAAATATGAAAATTCTATTTCATTCATTTGGAATCTTGAGTTACATTTACTCATAATTTTAGAATTAGAAATTGTATGTTCCCACACGTCTAAGGCATACGGTATACAAGAACTTTTCAATTCGAAAAAATTAATAAGATTTGAATAAAATAACGTTTCTATGACTTATAAAAAATACCCCAAAAAATCGTATACAAGAACACTACATGCAATATCTAATCGATTTTTTACTACCTCAATTGTTCTATTTTTACAGAACTTTCAAAATCTTATCTAATATTTCACGAGATTAGGAATTTCCTACACTCTAGACAAAAAAATTTTCTAAATAAATTTTTTAACCAATTTTTTTATTTGCATATTATTTTGATATACCTATGACTTTTATGTTACCGGGCTTTAGTTATAGAAACGTGACATTTAAAAAATCTTTCGGTTTTGATAACATTGAACGTAAATTCAATAATTTTGGCTGTTAAGAACTTTTTGCTAATGAGAATATATTTTTTTCTTTTTTTGAAAATGTCGACAAAAGTTAAGTTTCTAATTGTTGCAAGTCATTATACGGGGTTTAATTTGGAATTATACTGCTTTTTTTTTTAATTCTAGTCTCAAATTAATTCTAATTTAATCGCATTAAGTTTTCTTTAAATAATGTGTATTTAATTGAATCAGTCCATTACAATTTAACATAAAACTTGTAAAAATTGCATATTTTAAGGCAAAAATGCTTCTATAACTTTTTCTAGAAATAAATTTATTTAGATCAGATAAGGATCAAGTATATTGAATAATAATTTTAAAGTACACATACAACCACTTCTCATATTAAATAAGTTCGATTTTAGTAAAAATTAAGAAAATAACTAGATATTAATTGTATAATAAAATCTAAAATTCTTAAATTTTTTTATAGTTCATACTTTAATATTGCATAACAATGTTAAATATTCTTAAATAGTCGTAAGTTTTGTATTGCATAAATAAAAATCATATCGCAAACATAATATTTCTTTACCATTATCCTGTCCTGAACCTTAAATAATTTACTTAAAAGGGCACATTATATATAGCAAGTACTCATCTTTGTTGAAAAGAATTTGTTTAAAAACGCTTTGACAACACATAAAGTGTCTGGCTTTGTGACTAGAATTCAAAAAGGAACCATTTCACTGGCTATCATCAGGAGCAAAGAGGAAGTTCTATATATTAGGAAATTAATAAAACAAAAGCAATAATTAACAATTTCCAGTAAATTCAAATTTTGCTAAGGGATGGCATAATTATGCAAGAACTTAAATTTCGTTCTTATTTCTATCATTAATTTTTGATCCCATCAAGTTATATAAAACTTAACAATTATTAGCTAATTTGGAGTATATAAATAATATCAAATTTATAAAATCCCGTACTTGTGACTTAAAATTCAAATTTCTCTGATTAAGTTAACCATTTTCACTTCATGTGGCTTGCAATTTATTGAGTATCAGCCAAAATCATCAAAAGTGATACTTTTCAAATTTTTCTTCAAATTCCAAAATTTACAAATTCAATTTTCTTTAAACTTAAATGTGATGTGTGCCATTTTTTGTAATACTTTTTTATTTATATTCCCGTAGGCATAAAAATAAAAGTTAACACTTCCTTAATATCAATTTCAAATATTTTCATAATTACCAATGATTTTCATTTATTAAGAAATTTTGAAATTTTTAAATTAATTAAAAAAATGTCAAAACTTACCAGTTTCATTATCAATGGTAAATGGAATACCAGCCCATTCGTCATCAATATCCGACTTTTCAGGCTCATTTTTAGACTAAAAATTAAAAAAAAAATTAAAATCAATAATGTTTATAAACATAATAACAACAACAAAACAAAAAAATTATAACATCAGCAAAAAAAACAAAATATTTTGTCTGACTTTTGTTTTTTTTTTTTGCTTAAAATCGTAAAAGATTTTACTGATTTGGCCAAGTAGTCCAATGACTGTTAACTATTTACAAGAGTACATGTATTTATTATTATAACCATTATTATTATTATTATTATTCTTATTGCTTATTATTATTATATTAGAGTTTATTTCAATTTTTTTTGTTATATACCTTTTCATCTTTAAGTTCTTCTAGGGCTTTTAATTTTTCATTCTCATCGTCGGTTTTTTTGGATGACGTTGCATCTGAATTATATGAAATTTTTGGTGGTGATAATGAGAAACCAAGGTCAACATCTTGTTTCCATAATACTTCAACAATTTCACTTTCCTAAAATGGAAAAAAAATAATAAAAAAATTAAAAATTAGATAAAAAACAAATTAGGATGAAATTTAAATTCTTATAATTAATTCAATTTGTTTACAACTATAAATGTTTATAAACATTATTGTAGAATTTTGTATATAAGTATGGAATTTCCCAAAAAAAGATATATTTAAATGTTAAAATCAAACTTTTATCAAGAGTATGCGTATTAACTTTAATTGATTACTTAATGCTTAAAGTCAATGCCTACTCAAACAACATGAGCACGTGGTAAATTTAAATTTTTCCTAATTATAAAATAATTTGTTGCCTGGAATAGATGATTTGGTGCTTTTATAATAAACAATTACTTGCACCTTTTAAATGTTTTGACTTAAATTGAATTGCAAGAAAATTTTGATATTAAAAAAATTGTAGAGGTCAATGCTCTATTAGAAGCATACATGGCACAAACGATATACTAAAATACTTTTTGCTTAAATGTTTTTAAAATATAGTTGAAATTAACTTCAAATGCTGTTTCTTTTCGCAAGGTGATCTCATATTTCATGTAAACTGCTTCATAAATAATTTCTAGGTGTTTAAGAAGATAGATCTGAACTAGTAGTTTCAGAATAATGTAAAATGCAGTTTGCTCGAATTAAAATGCACATTATTTTTTTAAGGAATCCGTCAGAAATTCAAATAGGTTCTCGATAAATACTCGTACAAAGCTTTTGTAATTATCTTTTTATTATTCTAATTAATTTCTTTTGTCAACAAACAACCATAACACTGTAAAATTTTACAAAAATAAAAATTATATAAAACTGCTACTTAGTTTTGTTCTTCGAATCAGATTTTCGCAAAAAATATAATTACGAAACAAATTTTTCCAAAGACAATATAATTAAAGTTTTTCACGTTGCTGTCGTTAAAAGAAAAATATACTCCTTATATAGTTAAATTTAACCTTGTAAAGGAATTTGCTTATTGCCAAAATTTTAATGTTTTAATTCGGATCACTTTTACTACTTTACTATTCCATCATAGAATTTAATGTATTCTTTATTCCTAGAAATAAGGAATACATCATCAGCTGATCTGAAAAGGGAATTACTATAATGCTTGTATATTCAGTCTCACCAGAAATTTGTTAGAGTAGGATTATCTTGTAGAAATTCAATATGTTATGTTTTAGTATGCTTTATTTTATGCTTTTAATGATATTTAACACTGTTAATGAGTAAAAATTTTCAACTGTTGCATAATAACTACATGTGGTTGGTGACACAACATTAATTCTATAGGCTGTTTCTTATAAACAAAATATCTTCACAATCAAATTTCCTTTAATTGCTGGTTCTACATTGAGGTAATCTTATGTAAACACTTTTTTGTTTTTATTTACACTCTCGATTATTAAGGTCCTTCCATTTTTATTTCTGATTCACTAATGTTATTTTAAATAATTTTAAAAAATACCAAAAATTCTAGAAATAAATATACTAAAAAATTGAAAAACTGATCACATTTCAAAATTTTTGCCATTTTTTAAATTTTATTTTATTGTAAAACATATTTTCACTTTTATACTAAAACATAAATTCTTAGCAATTCTAAATTCAAAAACCATTTTAAATTGTTTGACAACCCAAATTTTTTGAACTTTAATGTTATGGTTCTTTTTCATTTTACTTCAAATATAATAAGTTTATTTCTTATTTCAATAAAATTTATTCCATTTTTTAAATTTCTAATTATTGCCCTTGTACGAATCAGAATCAAAAATCGCAACGAAAGTCTATTTTAATTAAAGAAAAGATTGTCAACGGAGCCCCATGAACCAACCCCTTTTTAATTTTACTTTTTAACTATTTAAAAAATTATTGTTTCCGACAGTACAGTTACTTAGAGTTGTGCGACAGAACTTTTGTAATTTTTTAATTATAAGATTAAGACAAGGTAAAAAGTAGTTGGTGTAATAGGACTGAGGTCTAAATTTGAAAACATGTTAATTTTAGTTTTTCAATTGATTTTAAATTCTCGTTTATTCCAGTTGATTCCAGTAATTCCACAATTAAGAATGTTTTGTCCGCAATTTGTACATACTACATTTAAATATAATAAAATTTAGTATTACAAATAAAATTTTTCAATATTTTTATATCTCTTCACTACTCTTAGAAATATCAAATCTAAAAACGTTTAATAAAATTATTTAAAAAACTTTGATAAAAAAATGAAAATCTCTATTTTTAATATTTTCAAGTAAATATTCAAATATTTGATTGAGGCGAGAATAAGCTAATATAACCATGGTGCATAAGTACTTTAAGGTCAGAAAACATTTATACTTAATGTAGAGTTTATTTTAAGAACAATTTTTAAGTACTTTATTACATAATTATGTATAAAAGTAAACAAATTAAATCAGAAGGCGCGCCTATTTAACAAAAAAATTATGATAATTTAAATTATACCGTACCGTAAGAATTTTTTTCATTTTTTCAATATAAAAAACTATTTAGGTACACTGAGTAAAAAAAAAATAAATAAACAATAATTTGCGATGTGCACTGGCACTTACACAACAATTATAATTTTAATCGTAAACTAAATATGAACTAATTATAAATTTTGTTTTCCGCGATCGAAATTAATATATTCTTTCAACTACAAACACACATACTCTCTTTTTCATTAAAATTTATGATTAGATAATTTGAATACTTGAAATGATAAGATATAAATGTAAAAAGTTTTTAAAGATAAGAGGAATTTGATAGAACCTTTCATACATATAAGCATTTCTTCGTATGTTTGAATGTACATAAAGAAATGAAACTAGTTTAATATTTACATTTATTCGTCAAAATGATAAGACAATGTAAATTTGGTGGAGTAATTTGGCAAAAAATTAATAGTTAAAAAAAAATGAAAACAAGTAGGTGTCAAGACGAGTTTTTGCTATAAGTAATATACGAGTAGTAAATTTTATGCAAATGTGCAGTAAATGCTCCCAATTAATAGCTTTGACTAATATTGTAGAAAAACTGAGCAAATAGTATTTGTTTTGGTTTTTCCAGTTATTGCTGTTGACCTTAATTCCTTAAAATTAGTAATGAATTTAGAAATCAAAGCTAACTGTAAAAATTAAAACAAATTCAATATACTAATTTAATTATATCTAAAATTATCAGGCAAAATCATAGTGGATCTAAGTTATCAACCAAAAATACTAAACTAGAGGTTCTATACAGTAAAACACAGTAGGTTTTATATTTTCCTTAAGGAAGATGCAACGAAGATAAATGTTGATAAACGCCAATTAATTGATCAATGTTATAATTTGAAAAATGATTTCCAATTAAAAATTGTGCTTGTAATCAATACTGTTACTCTATGTAAAATTCAGAAATTAAATTAAATTTACATTTAATAAAGTAAGAAAACAAAAATACATAAATTAAATATTTAATAAAATTTTTTAAATAATGAAAACACGTATATTATTTATTTAGTATTTCTACAAAGATAAGATTGCTAAATACAGATAATGACACGTAAATGTCTAATTAAGATAACGCGGCCAGTAGATATTCATTCACATAACGTAATAAATGTAGCAGTTTTTATATTTTACTATATTTGAAATATTCATAACCTAAGTAGAAAGGTTTTATTACGTCTCAAAACAGATAAAATATCTTTGCTTAGCTACATAACTAAGCTAATCCGTAAGCAATCCATTTTAGCTATCATAATAAAATTTTTAAAAATACCAACTTATATTTCATGTAAAAATTCGAAAATATTTCATGTAAACTCATAGCGGTAGAATGATTTTGTGGCATTATGACAGACATTTTGAAAATTTGATATTTGAAGTCACATAATTATGTTTGAAAATAGTATGCAAAATGGATTTAAGCTGCAAAGTGGGAAGCACTTGTTCAGGCTTCTTCCCGTAAAATTATTTTTACTCGAATAAGCTGGTGGAAGATGTTGAAAAAGTTTTAGTGGCAACTTCATGCTATTGAGTGTGGGTGGGTGAACATGACTGTTAACCTTTACTTTCCATCCTTAAAAATTGTCGTCTTTAACAATTACAGAGAACTTAATTGAAGCGATTGAAGAAAATAGGTAAATGTTTTCAGTATTATACTTAGTCCGCCCCTGTTTACTCTCCCAAAATAAGGCATGCAAAACTCTAATAAATCCAAAGTAAATAGGTTAAATAAATTCTGGACATATTTCGCAATTATAAGGGTATGTATTAAAAATGATAATTTAGTGCGTATTTCTGTTTGTTTTTAAACAAATTTTTCTGTTGGACTTGATGGAATAATTTTATAATTCTAAATTGCATATACATATATTGCATATAAGCGCCTATAATCTTCTTTTTTAATTTTTTTTTTCAATTTTTTAAATACATGTACAATTCATAGGAACTTGTGTTAAGCTGATAATTTGCAATGAATTAAAGCCTTCAACTCATAACATTAAAAAAAAGGGTAATTCAAGGATCTTAATACTCATATACATAACTTATGTCTTGTAAATATTAAAATCATCTTTAAATTCCATTATTCTCGTCAATTTTTAATCCGTTTATGATCGCTGTAGCTGCTGAAATAGTATTCATAGCAGACCCACAACAAAACTATAGACAAACAAAAGAAACCAAGAATAAGAAAAAAAAAAACAACAACCCAAATTCACTTGTTTTCATTTCAATTTTCAAACAATTTTGTTTTTATTTTTTTGTATGAGTATACAATGTTTTTACCTGTTCTTTTATACAAGGTAACAAAATTTGTCATAAAAATGCAGATAAAATTAAAAAAAAAACATTAATATTTTGTATTAAAGATATTTAATGAAATTCATTTGTCAACTTTGGTCTTGCTCTCCTGCACAGCAATACTCAATAAACATATAAAATGAAATAGGCGAAGATAACCAGCCTATCAACTACGTGTTCAGTGTTATTGGAAAACTTAGAAGACTGATAAAA